AGTAATTTAACTATGCAGAATATAATTTCTGAAATAATTAAAAGCAAATATATAGAATATTCATATCTGTGGTGATCAAGAAACACTTCTGAAAGCACAGATTGAATTTGTAACAGCATAACCATGGGAACAATTAAAACCAGTGCTTTGCATTAACATCAAACTGTGCTCTCTGCAACTTGACGTACACTGTAGCATCACTCTCAACAGGTAGACAGTAAGTGATATAAGGCATGAACAAGGTCAGGGCAACAGGTTTCCTGGAAATTGCACCATTTTAATTAAGATGAAACCTTTCAAAAAGGAGTATCTGTTAGGATGTTACAAGACCATTTTGATTGAATGAAAACTTACAGTGTCTTTTAGTTCCGTTGAGTATTCTTACCACGCTTCAGTAAGATATTTGTTAGCATTCTTCTATCTTTTGATTTACCACTACTTTAATAGCTGTCCTCTTGTACAATGTGCTTAACCCAAGTATTCTTGACAAGAATAATGGAAATAACGTATAAATGCAGTACAAGCAGCTGTATCATTTTTTGAGTCCTTGTTGAAAATAGCCTATTGTTTTGTTTATACCTTCAAATATATCATACCCTCATATGTTTGTTTCCTGATGGTGGTCTTTCTGTTCCCACTGCTGTAGTTCAGTTTAACTATTTTTTTTAGTCTGCAACGGGATCAGTAAGAATAATATAAAACCAAGAAAGAAAAATAGTTGGTGACCCAACAGAGTGACACTGCTTTCAAGTTTTTACCAATATGCACCTCATTAATTTGCAGTATTGGTCAATTAGGCATTACTTCCACAATTCTAAGTTTTAGCCCCACTCATCATCCTGCAAGTCACATCAGATGCTACAGAGAAAGCTGTAATTTATTATTTGCACCAGGACCATCTCTGCAATGCCAATGGTTAAGTTATGTGTGCATCTTTCCCCCTTCTTTCATGGAGGGAGCTGGCTGTCAGCCAAGCAGTAGAGCTGGTTTTGGCAGCTCCCTGGTTGTGGAGAGTGCTGGTTGGGAACATCCTGCAGCATCAAGCTTGGGAGACTGGAACACTTGACCAGATGTTAAGTGTGCCTGCACATGTTTGAGGAGGAGTGTCCATGGGTGTGCTCATGTACAGCCTCAAAGTCACTATTGAACAAGTTAATACTTAAACTTTTATAAATTTAATAGTTTTTAAAATCTTTGTGATTTGCTTGAGCTTGAGAAGAGTCAATTTTCTACACTCTTGCTGCACCAGTCACATTTCTACACTTGTATTTGTAAGAAAAAATGTTGTTTTGTGTCCAGGACATACACAAACTAGATATATTTCCATGGCAAATGATGGAAGCTTTGGATTCATAACCCCTTGCTCCCCACCAAGTGGTGAACAAGCCTTCATAGCTTTGAGCCTGAAAAGATGTAAACATCTGGTAACAGGGAGAGAGCTGGAGATACTTGTTTTGATTCTTATAATGCCGGAGAGGAAAGTAAATACTGCAATTCTTCCTCTCACATTTCTTCCCAAATCCTCCGATACTGTAGCATGGACCTGGGTTTACACATAAACCAGAACAAATGTGTGGATTCTCAAAGAATTTGAAACACTGTTTCATGTTAACTTTGTCATTAAAATCCGTCTGAAGCAATCAAAGTAGCCTATTAAGAATTGTAGTAAATCTACATCTAGTAGAGAAATACCCAAAGCACAGTTCTAGTTCACCCAACAGGGAGGTTATTGGTTTTTTAGCATGGAAAAGAACTGTATCTGATGAGGGCTGAAGCACAGTGGTAGATATAAAGAGGAATTCTCTGTAGTTGGCACACGCTCCTGTTTGTTCCCTGGACAAGCGGAGGTTTGCGGAATTGTGAACTGCCAGTCGATCACTTTTTGTATACTGTTTATGCTGAAGAAAAGTATAGAAAGAAAAATGAATTTCCCAAAGAACTGCAGTTAATAGTGGTGTTGAGGAGGTGTGTGCTCACCAGAGAGTAGTCCTTGTTTACAACTGCTGATCTGGGGTCTGGGTTGTGAGTGTGTGAGTTAAATCCTTAGTGTTTGTAACCACTTTCCCGTCCCCTTTCATTTACCCACAGGGTTATTGCTTTCCTTGAAGCCATAGTGTGCATAAAGTTTGGACAGGATCTTTTTTCCAAAACGCAAATACTGTATGTTGTGTTCTGGCTTCTCTGTGTGGTAAGTGAGATTTCTCACATGAAACATAAAGCATGGCAAAAATATTGAAAGCATCTAAATAGCTTCCTCTCTGGAACATTGGCAGCAGGGGATCATTGTGGGGGAATGCTGGTAAAGAGCTTTGTGCATGTCCTAGGAAAAGCAAATGCTAGTTCATTTAGAGCACACTTTGAAAGGACTAGAATAACTTTTTTCTTATTTCTTGACATAGCAGAATATAGCCACTGTACCAGTGCTTAACAATGAAACAAACACTAGTTATAGGGTGCTTTATGAGAGAAAACATCAGTTCAATTGAAGCTAACTTTGGTGCTTGCTAAAGTGCCCGCTGGAAAGGAACAGGAGTTAATGAATAGTTTTAATAAGTAATGCATGTTGTTTCACACTGAAGTCTTACAACTACATAAACAACCCTGCTTTATCAGGCAAATCATTCTCACTCAGCCTGCAACTTTCTGTACTTAAGTGTGATTACTGCAAATGCAGCATGAAATGCCCATTTTATAACAGTAAATGGATGTTTGTCTTGCCAGACTTGTAACTCTGATGCCAAACACATTTTAAATGGTCAGTGAAAAATAAGGCATTTATAATGGGCTGACAGATAAATACTTCTCCCTTCTAGTTGGGAACACAGTTTGAACAGGTGATAGGGAGTCAGAATTTATTGTTCTCTTATTTAGCATGACGATTTTATTCATAAAACTTCAGAGGAGAAAAGTATTGAACTGCTCCCTGGATCAGAGCACAACAAAACCAAACATGTAACCCAGCCTGAAGTATGGGGCAGGGAGAAGAGAATTTGTTTTTCTGGTTCCTGATAATATACCTACAAAGGCAGTTGGTAGGCACTTGTATGACAACTGTACAGTGTGACAACAAAAACTGCTCTGATGGAGTATCCTGCATGTATGTGGGTGATCGGTATGTGTTTTCATGCTCCCATTGAGAATTGTTCTGCATACTCCATGGTGACAGAATGTGTACCTTGAAGTTGAAGCATGAGTCTTACTCATCTTGACAAAAGATGCAGAAACAGAGCATGAAAGTCTCTGAATGCAGAATCTCAGGGGACTTTGAGATCTTGAAACAGCAAGGAATTTGAAAAAGGTTTACAGATTATTATTTTTTCTTTTTCTTCTTCTTCCTTGTTTAGGCCTTTACAACTTTCCTGTGTTTATATGGTATGGTTTGGTACGCAGAATACTATGGCCACCGAGAAAAGGTATTTTATTAGGAAGCCTGTTTTTGTTTTATACCAGAGTTAAAAGTGCAAAGCTCCTAGACATTAGAATTCTTTACCCGAGCTAGTATAAATGGGGATGAGGGGGGATGGTCCAGAGACTAACTGAAGTCAATAGAAAGAACTCTGAATTCAGCAGGCCTTGGACAGATCCCAAATTACACTGTGGTTTCTAAAGAATGCGGTCTTCTTAGTTACTCAAAATGAGACTGTAATTTTAGCAAAGCATTCAGGGATGAATGGTTAGCTAATGTTCCCATTGTACAGGTGGAATGCTAGGGGAATATTAAGAATACTTGGTTACACAACAGATCACATGGCAAGTGGTGAGTTCTTATTGTATCATCTATGTTGTACCTTCTAACTAGGAAGGGAAAGGAAAAGTCTTAAGTACTGGCAGAATGTTTTATGAGGACTTCTGCCACAGTTTAGATTTACAAGTCTAATTGCAAACAGAAGTGATGATGACAAGAACCACCAGCATCCCAATGACATGTGTCCTTCTTGTTTTTGCAGACCTTATCAGAAAGTGAAGACAGCCCATACAGTCCAGATGCTTCCTGGCTTCATTCTAAATTCAGTAGAGGTATTGGCGTTTTTGCACCTATGTTCTCAAAGTGGTATCATTAAGACTCAGCAGTAGGAAATGAGGCTTGAGAAACTTGCATTTGAGACAACTGGACTTGTTTAAACATCCCTGCAGGAGCTATACAGATGAATCATCTGCAAAGCTATTTCACTTTACTTCCTTTTCTCTTCTCTTCTAACTCTTGGACATGTATTTATTTTTTAATGAAGCAACTGAATTTTTCTGCCATTATTCCAGGCCATTCTTGCAGGTTTAGAGCATTATACATTTCATGACCGTTGTGGACAGGTTTTCTCTCTGAACATTGCATGTTTGATTTGAAACCTATGAATGTGAATTGTGTTTTTATTCCTGCCTGTTAAGAAACAGTCAAGAATGTGCCCTGGAGCTTGTGTTCTTACTGACACTTGCCTAGTTGATGCAGTGCTGCTGGTCATAAACAGGTCTCTCTGTTCTAAGCAAAGGCAGCCTTATCTGACTTCTTTTCCC